GGACTTAATCACAAAATCAATTTCTATATAATCAATTAATTTGAACGAATGTACATTTCTTTCATCTTCATTGATTTCTACTTCTTCATTCGGTTCCTTTGTGATCAAGTTATCATTCACTTTAAGTTCCTCTACTATTGTTGAAATTTCTTTGGATTGACTGATCGATCTGCATTCTGGATCCACAACCCACGGGCAATGAGAAGTCTTTCTTTTCAACTTTTTCAAGTGGATTGTATTTCTACATTTTGAATTCATTCGAGTAACTACAATCTCCAATACATATGTTAAGCTCTTCCAACTGGCAAGTATAGTACTTTGCAATTACCATCTCGTTCAACAGAGGATGACCATTTCCTACAAGTACGATATCCTCATCCTAATTGACAGGTACATAATCTCCCAAATGTATGTAGTCTTCATCAGATTTGTCAATTGTTTGTTTTCAACATCTTAAATATTGTATGAACCTTAGAAGCTTTACCGTACTGGAATCAGTGCGTGTATGCAAACAGTGATCAGTATAATGCATCCCATAGCAAAGCTGACAAAATATATCTTCTACAAGCACGTTGTTTTTATCCATGTCGATATTGCTTATTGCAATTGATATGCTCTCTCACCATTGTTAGATTCATGCATATACTATTTAATAGTACCTAAAAAAAATACCGAAGAGATCATGGTAGTCGCCAAAATTAACAAAATAAAAAAAATCTAAATTAAAACAAAGGTTAGTTAGTAATAATATTAGTAAAAATCAAATAAAACAATCCCCCCGACAACGACGCCAAAAACTTGTTACACGTTTTCTATAACGTGATTTATGCCGCAAGTATACGGTGTCAGATTTTGTAATATAGTAATAGAATTAAGAGTGTCGAACACAAATGGATTGTAATTTAATTTTGTACTAAGTACTATAATTATGTAGCCTTTATTTTATCTAGGGGTGGGTGCGGGTCGGTTCAATTCGGATCCAGGAATTTTCGGGTATTTAGTAAATGGAACCGTCGGTTCTAAATATAATTTTGAAACCGTTCGGGTTATATTACTAATAAAACTTCGATACTTTATATCAATAATGCATTTGCTTTAAACCTTCAAGTCTATATAAAAATAAAATATAAATTAGAAGTCATAAAGATAAAATAATTTTAAAGTATTGATAATACTTACCAATTATTTAATATAATCATCAGTTGCTTGACTTTTCATACAAACTACTAAGAAATTATACAAAAAAAATTAAAAAAACACAACTAACAAATATAAATAAACTCTAAATTGTTCAATTAATAAGATTTAATAAAAAAAATTATTAATTTGTTTAGAAAAAATGAAAGAAATTGATTTATCCAATATTAAAAAAAAATCGGTTCTTGGTCTAGAATCGAGAACCGAGCCGAACCAAATCATTCGGTTCTCGATTCGGATACCTATTCGGGTATTTCATTTTTAAAAAACCCGCACGGTTCGATTCGAACATTTTGTTCAGCCCTAATTTTATCTAGATGAATTAGTTATGAATCAACATTGTCAACTAATCCCACGATAATTTTGGTGATGAATTCAATGAATGCAAATTATATGAATTTAGTCAAGATGGAAAAGTCTAGGGAATGATTTCAAATAACTATCAATTATGATTTTCAAAAACTTAGTTATTTCTAATCAATTTTTCATATTTATAAGCAAGAGCTCTAATATAATTATATCTCTTCTCTCGAGTGTTGGATAAAAATTAATTTCAGTATCTCTATTTCGAATTAAAATCTAAAAATTATCAAGTTCATGATTCTTTTATGGAGTAAACTTCATAGATCATATACTTTCTCTCGAAACCTATAAAATCTACGTTGTCTTAATCTTATGACCGAGCTTAAATTCCCCTATCTTGAGTGTCAAAATTGACTAACATCTACTCATTCAATTAGTGACTAATTAATTGAAAGTATTAAAATCATAACACAAATAAACGGAATGGAAAGTTTAATAGAAATAACTAAAATAAATTCAAATCATACTCTCAAGTTTTGGTTACAATCAAACCTTAGAAGACTAGTTTAGTTCATGATAAGAAACATGAAAATTATACAATTCAAAATAAACAACATAAAGAAGAAAATAGAAAAAATTAATTTTTAGATACATCTTCAATCTTCTTCCTTGATGTTGTTCTTGTCTCCATTTGATTTCTTAAATTATGCCCACTTTGCTTCCTTCAATTGTGTGTTGAATTCGCCCTCAAAACTGGTCTTTTAGGGTTGTATTTATATTATCATGAAATCTTGAACGGGTTGGAGTTGTATTGGGCCAAAAAAGAGTCCAAGAAATCCAAAAACATATTTCTTGCATGGCTGCGCCTTGGCTCCCATGATTCTATTGATTTTCAGCGATGGTGGCGCTGCGGCGCCCGTTTTGGTTGGAGATTTAGTACTACCCGTCCTTTGTATTTTTATCATAACTTTTCCTCCCAATGTCTGATTGAGGTGATTCGAGATGCGTTAAAAAGATAACTCAAATGGCTACAATTTTACGTCAGATATCATATTTCAATTCAAACGTTTTCTATGTCAAAAATGAGTCTCAATATGAGATTGAAAATTTGTAGCATAACTTTTTCGGTTGGAAATTAATGTGTAATCATCCTTTGCATCTATTTCATCCATTTGATTCTTTTTTCATCGAATTGACTCCAAACACTCTCTAATCTTCATTTAGCTCCTACACAACTTTTGTATATTTTCACTTTAGTCCTCTAACTTTGGAACTCTTACAATTTAGCCAGTTTATCTAATTTGCCAACTTTTGCTTATTTCCTTCAATTACATTAATCTATATCACAACATCAAAACATACATTAAAACGCCCTAAAACTCTCTCAAGGATAACAAAATAAAGAATTAAGTGGTATAAATATTATGAGTGTAGAACACTCATTAGTTTGGAGGGGAAATTGAGGAATTTTTGAACGAATGAACGAACGGATTGGGTTCGAAACTAACATGCTAGTTATTTACTCAACTTTATATCTGTTAGACAAAGGTAGCTTGCACCAACGAATTCAAATTTTTTCCTATTTTGGAGTTGGGGTTCCTATTGTTCTTCTTGCAAAATCAATTGAATTAGGGATTAAGGTTAGGGGTGATTTTTGGGGATTCAATGTGGTAAGAAATTGTAAATGGTTTGGAAAAGTATGTTTTCAATTGATGAAATGGAGCTGAGTTGGCAAATGAGTTTACATTTGAAAGGTGTAAACATGACGTATCATATTTTCATAATCCATGCTAACATTAAATGAAATTGTGTCCGTCCAGTAAGTAATGGACAATGACGGAGCAAAGTTCAGTGACTAATGGGACACTTTCGAATATTCGGTGAGCAAGTCATGACATGGTGCACAGTTCGGTAACTATTGAAACATTTAAGTCTATAAAATTTCAAAAAGAGTAATGTTATTTATCATCATAATGATAGAACGTAGACAATCCATTATTCCTCACATTTCTCTCTTTTCTCCCACTCTCTTTCATTAAAAAAAAATGAACTGTCGAATCCCATTATTTCAGATGGACTGTCATATAACCAATATTCCATCACCATAATGATAAGTACCATTATTCGTTCAAAAATGTTAGATATACATTCCAAGTGTACATTTATTTTGACATTTGATGTGTTGTTAACAAGGAATTGGAGGAAAAATTATTTAAGGGATATTTGATTATCATTTTTTCCAAAATACATTTTTGTTTATTTTTTTCAATCACAAATTCTTCTATTAAAAGCTTGTTTGTCTCCCATTATGGCTCCCATTATGGGAGAAAGAATGATGTTTTGAATAGTATTTTTTGGAGAATGTGTGGTTAAAATTGAAAGAAACTTTATTGATTTATGTGTAGAATATTTTATTATTTGAATGTGTGGTGGAGATTAATTACTGTAAAAAACAATATTTTGAAAAATGGTAGACAAACATGGGCTAAATAATATTATACACGAACACCTAAATAATTTAAACCATACTCCCTCCCTTAATTTACTTACTCCGAACTACATTCTTAAAATATAAGGCTCACTTTAGGTGTTGCCATATGATGATATAAATGACGATGATAGATAAATTTTTGTATTTATCCTATCCAGCAGTTATGAGAGGCGACAGGCAAACCAAAACAAATTAGAAAAAATCTGATACTGTGGTGAGTAATATGGCGACTTGTTTATGGACCCCTCAGTATCGAATTACTTCCCCCCACTCTGATCGCTTTCGGATCTGCAATTTCCGTCAACCAATTCTACTCCCCGTTGGTAGAAATCGTAATTATACACACTGCGCCAGCATACGTTGCGGCTCCAACAACAACAGCACGAATAATCAAACCGAAACAACTGGTATTCAGCTTTACAGAGATATTGAGAGGTATGTCCCAATTCTATTTCATACCTAATTCAATTTCTTCAGCTTAAGATTTTTAGAGTGCTATTGGCTTATGCAAATTATTTGTATTTTTTCCTTTCTGGAGGATTTTCGGGTTCAACGTGGGTTTATTTCTCGTAATAAATGCATTTAAGAAGAAAGAAACTCCCTAAGAATCAGGGGTGGGCGTGGGTTGGGTTGGGTCGGTTTTTCCTCCAATCCATACCCAACCCAACATGGTCGGTTTGGCATAAATTCAACCCAACCCAACCATGTAAAGATTGAAACCCAACCCAACCCAACCCAACCAAATGTCGGTCAGGTTGGGTTGGGTTGGTCGGGTTGGGACGACCTCTCAACAAATATTAAAGTCACCAAAGTACTAAATTAAAGCAACATTAATAATTAAGTTATATTTCCGTTAGAATTCAGTTCAATAATTTAACACTAAACTGAAAGCTAAGGATTGTAAGACATACAAACAGATAAGGATTGTAAGATATACAAACAAATATTACATAGATATTATTGCCAAGAGAATAAGGTTACTCACAGGATTGAGAGCACCACCCAATATATGATGCAAGTTATGAACCACTGAAATGAGCTTATCACAACCACTGATGCTACCAGCTAGAACCTGCAAAGGAAACGTAGTAGAGTATAAATCAAAACTGCACAATGGTTTAAAGAATAATAATAATTGTGAAAACTAATAATATACTCAGTTTGTGACATGATGCTTGCATAATGGTTTAACATGGCTAAAGTTCTACGTAGAATAAATATTCATATCATTTCAAACAAAGTACTGAATCAACCAGTAAATGTGGTGGTCTGTTGCATACTTGTCTCAAATGAGGAAGGCATGTTCCTTTCAGAAAAGGATTTTGATGAATGTGCAAACAGAGAAGACGACAGTGATATCATATAAAAGGATCACCTTAATCTCCAGCTTCATAATATGGGCTAAATATTGGTTGAAACTCCATGGGAGGTACAGAGATTGCACACTAGATACATTGCGAAGGTAGTAGTGTATATAATCATTTGTTCCAACTGAAATGTAGAATACCGAGTTTGAGATAAGCTCATATGCTTCATCCTCACCCATACTCAGAATAAACTGTTGAAATGTGTCCATAACCTGTTGAATTTGCTGCACAAAGGAGATACGTTGACCCTGCAAAAATTGTCGAAACAAGTGAATGATTTTGCACAAATGAATCATCATTATTTACCATTTCACGTTTTTATGCTTTACCAGTTCAGAGCCACTGGAGAATATGATTCCGGCACCAGCAGATGCATAATTCACTCCTTGAATC